GGATATGCCTTAAGGTGGTTTGATTCCTATCTCACCAACCGGAGTTGTCGTGTCTGTGTTGATGATAATTACTCAGATCCACACTTATTAACTTTTGGGGTTCCACAAGGCTCGGTAGTTGGTCCTGCTCTATTTAGGTTATACATCAGTCCGCTTGGAGACATCATCAGGCGTCATTGTATTAAATATCATTTTTATGCTGATGATCTACAACTGTATCTTGATTTTGACCCTTCTCTTCCCTCTTCTGTTGATCTGGCTTTGGATAGACTTAGGTTATGTATCAAGGATGTTAAGATTTGGATGGCTAAGAATAAGCTTGAACTTAATAATAACAAAACAGAATTCATTGTCTGTGCTTCCAAGAGGCACTTAGAGCTTGATCACGTTAGACAGGCTTCTCTGTCACTTGGTGAACTTAACATTCTACCCACTAACTCGGTCCGTAATCTTGGTGTCACATTTGATTCCACGCTGTCGCTCTCTAATCAAGTTCAGTCAGTTTGTAAATCGACCAAGTATCATATACGTAACTTATGGAGGATTCGCAAACTTATCGACAATGACACCTGTCATGCAGCAGTTCGTGCACTTGTTTTATCTAGAATTGATTACTACAATTCATTGTACTCTGAGTTGACTGTAACTGATTCTCTAAAATTACAGAAGTTGCAGAATTCTGCTGCACGTCTTATTTTTAACATTCGATCCTCTCATACTCACACTTCACATCTTCTTCGTGAACTTCACATGCTACCTTTTAGGCAAAGGGTTTATTTAAAATTAATGGTTCTTGCTTTCAAATCACTGTCTGGCCTATGGCCACAATATATCTCTGACTTTTTACTTGTACGTAGAAAGCAAATTCGTACCAGATCGGCTTTGAATGTTAATTTCCATCAACCTATCTTTAACAAGCGTTTGGTAACACATCTTTTTCATGCGAGGCGCCACTCTCATGCAGTGTGACCACTGCTTGGGTATTTACCCAAGATCTTGGGTATTTTGACTTGGTCTTGGTTGTATCCGTTCAAATCCTTGGGTATTTTATTTTTACTAAGAAAATTAAATATTTTTGTCATAGAGGAAGAATTAAGACGTAACAAAGTATATTTCAGTCCATTCAAGTAAGCAAAACTCAACGAAGTGCACATAACATTGTTAATTGACTGTTATTGATAGTAATTGTTATTGTCGTGATGGAATAATAGACAATAACTGGATTTGCTGTTATTGCTATAAACATGGGTTCAGAATTGTTTATTTGTGATTTGCGTCGCCACTGATCTTACCTAATTTTATGCATTACATAATAAAACTTGATCACTGATCTACTGATAACACTGGCCGATTGAGGGAGTATTCTTCTAGCCGTATTATTACCTCATGAATATTCATTATAATAATTAGCACAAACAATTACAATTAAAAATTATTTATAAATTGAACTAAAAGGGAAACTATACATGTGAAAAACACGGTTTTTTTCAAATTTTAATGCATTTTCAGGAAGCTTTGGTAATTTTAGGCAATTTTTGCTGAATCTTGTGTAATTTCGACCCAGTCATTGAGTATATCAAAAATTGTGAGTGGTCACGCTGCTCTGGAATAACCTTCCAGTCACATTCGATCTTCACCATCTGTGGCTGTCTTTAGGTCTAACTTAAAGACTCATCTCTTTAACTAATTATCCCATTTTTATTTTTATTGTTGCATTATTTACTCATGTTTACAAGCTTTGCCACTGCTTCTTTTGATTTGTTTACTTGTTCTGTGCTTGGGTTAGGCAATGATCACGGCTGCTTTTGGGTTGTGAGGTGCCTAAATATGTGGGGTGCAGCGCTTCGTATCTGTAAAGAAAGGCGCTTTACAAATGTTCTCATTGGATTGGATTGGGTACAATTGTACTAATTGTACAATTGTGTGCAATTTTTTAATTGAGAATTGACAATAAAATACGTGACGACTTGGTAACGAAAGTTTGGTTGAAGTTTTTTTAGATCCAGCCGTAAGGGGCGTCCCATTGTTTGTATTCCCACCATGCATTTCGGTGGAACACTTTTTTTGTGTGGAGAACTCTATCTTGTGTTTCCTTCCTGATTTGTTGATAGATTCGTTCGTGCTGATGGCACCACACACAGGAGGCTGCAGCACGGAGACGATAGTTACTTTATTGATTTGTGTAGGAAGCTAGAAGCTGCAATTTTCGTCGTCCAATGTGTGATTCGTAGAAAGTGTAATTCGTTGTCCAACAGGTAAGTAGTGTCTGTATATTATGAGTGAATGCTTGTAGGCCACTAATCTGATGTCTCCCTGGCATAAAATACCGATTTTTTTTTTTGATTTTTTTTTTTTTTTGTTAATTAAAGCATAAAGTTAGTTGTTTAAATAGGACCTATGCCTAGGTTAGGTAGGAGGCTAGTCAAGGCAAGGAAATTTAACCTCCTTGGTCAAGGGTACACCCTAGATACTAACACTAACCAGCCATCACAGAGGGGCGTACCGTGGGGGGGGGATCGATGGGTGCGGTCGACCCCCCCCCCCCCCCCCCCCACCAAACACCCCCCCCAAAAAACCCCCCCCTCCCCCAAAAAACCCCCCCCCCCCCCCCCA